TCGCGTAAAGATTTATCAAGTAGCGGCATAGTTTCATTTATCATCAGGCCAAGTCAGTCCCCAGACCAAGGATTGTTTGGGAATGGGAATCTCTAGTTGGATTTCGGCCGCCGGTGTCATAGCTTTGCTCGTATAGACCGAGTTCAGGTTCACCACTTCGGCAAAGTCACTGGGAAAGGGTCCATCAGGTCCATGAGAGACGAACGCACGTGGCTCCTGGGAGTAACTTCCTTGGGCTACCCTCCAATGGACAAGGGAAACGCCTGACGGAAATGGCAGAATGGTTTTTTCCAGCCGGTTGGGTCTATAACATGGTGGAGTCGCGGCCACTGCCAAAAGGGAAAACTTATTAATATCATCACTGAGGATCCAATATCCGAGGTCAAGGGCCGGCAAATGTCACTCGGCGACTGCGCCGGTCCTGAATGCGCTTCTCCGTGTCAACATAAAGATTGTCAAGGTACTCCATTGCAGCGGCATCCTTCAAGATCTTGGCCACCTGCGTGCCGGCGGAGATAAGCTGAAGGACGTTGCGATCGTCCTTGATGGGCCTGGATTGATGCTTGGCAGCATGGCGCATCTCCAAGGAGTTCTCCAGTATGGTGACTAACTGCTTGATCTGGCCGTTATACAGGACCCTGGCGGGGATCCGCCGCTTGGTGGCCAGTCTTTTGAGGAGGTATACCCACTCAGTCCATTCACGGTCTGAGGGAACTCTCACCTGTCTCTTGTCAGGCTCCAGTGGGATTGGAAACTGGTACTTTGCAACAAAGTCAAACGCGCACTGCGATAGTCGGTCGTTCACCGAGGACAGGATACGATCTTGTTCTGAAACATCAAGATTAGTAGGTAGATGAGGCAAGTCCCTTCCTTGTGCCGCGATCACACGCGGAGAGGGAGGTTCAAGTAATTGATGGGGGCCGTCAAACTCATCCCGGTTCGATGGTCTTCTCTGTGAATGGTATCGGGTTGTGCCCTTGAACTTTTCACCAGACCGTCGGCTGTTCCTCTCAACCATGTATTCCGGCGTCTCGAAAGACCTGGCAAAGTCATATTCCCGTCTCAAAGACTCCGCCGGCAAGCGAGCAGGATGGTCCCACTCCGGATAATGAGGGACGGGGCGTGGTAGTGAAGTTCCTGATGGTGCAGCTATATTGGCATTGATCTGGGAAGTCACTGGCAGCCCGCTGTAAGGCATAGAGAAGTTAAAATCCGGTGAAATAGGTTTGGGGCCCCCCGCGGCAGCACTCGGGACGTTCATGGGTCCGCGTTCAATGCGGGGTGGTGACATCCTTGTAGAGCTGCTTATGAGTGAGTTTTCCCTCGGTAAACAATGCTTCTGGAGAGGATGCTGAATGGTAATACAAGATAAATTGGTACCTTGGGTGGTAAATGATAGGATTTTCGCTCGGGGTCCCATACATCGGCGGCTGCTGGGGCGCAATACCACTGCAAAAGGTGAGCTCTCCACATGACTTACATGTCTTGACAAAGACGAGATACAGAAGATCTCGGTTCGTGCTAACCTGTGATGGGACCAAGAATCATTGCTGCCAATGGACTGCGTACAAGAGCCACTGCTTCCTGTTACCCGCGAGAAGTAACTAAGGCCCGATGACATGGTGATCAATGGAGATGAAATAACAGATGGCATGAAGTTGAAAAGCTATAGTGACTGGCGTGACGAACTGTACTGGGAAGCTAAGCCGTTGTGGAATTGTGAAGGACGGTGGCGAGTCAGTCCAGACCATCGGAGACTGAATCTAACAACAAATAGAGAAGACGTTTATAAGAATAACCTGACTGGAATGAATGGCAGGTACAAGAACAATTTGTTGCAGGCGCCAGATAAGCTTTTTATCTCTGGACCGCGTGAGGTACGAAGGAGAGGACATGAACAGCTCCACAGCAGTGGCAACTGGGAGACTCGATCAGCCTGGAAGGCAACCCGTCCTTGTCAGAGAGCAACCGCGTGCCCACTGGTAGTCATATAGGTCAGTTGTATATACGGCGACAAAGGATCTATCTCGGACCCATATCCAATCGAGGTTCGACCCCACAGTGCCCCATTCGATTGACAGGGCAAGCTAGTAGGATCGATTGAGCCAGAGACGCCCGGCACGGCTAGGTTGACGATAATTAGGCCATGGTAATAAGCAAAGCGGCATTCACGACAATAAAAGCAGAAAGAGTGGGGAGCTGCACAGGCATATTGGGGTACAGGGCCATGGATGAACCCGGCTGCAAAGAGGCAGCCAAACTACCCATCAGCAGGCTCTCGCCAACTCTCATGCGCTGATCTCATCCCCAACCGCGGTTGTCAAAACCAAACGTAAGAGAAGAGGAGTTGAAGGATTCGGTGATGCGTAGGGCTTTGGGCAGCAAAGAATCGGCCGGATTGCGCAGGGAAGATGCATCCACTCGATGGAGGGAGGACGACATATCCAGGCAATTGACCCAATGCAGGTTCTAGGTATTCAATGGCAGTTTGGCGCGGGAGACTGCTTCTGTTTAGAGTTCCTGGGCACAGAGTGGATGATCCCATTTGGTCCCTCTTTCGTCTTGCCTGTCGCCAGCGTTTCCAGTGTCTCCACTTGCGTCGAAGAGGACTAGAGTGGGATGGATGGCTGGATACAGAGCATCAAAAGAAGAAAAAAGGGGGGTGGAGGGGGGGGAGATAGGATGGTGGGGAGAAGCACGGTGTGTACTCCATGGTTGACAGTTTGAGGATGATTGCACACTGCAGCCACCATCCCTTTTCGGAAAGGGCAATGAAGTGCCCACAGTGGATGCCTCAGTCCTCCGACAGCCTGCCTGCCTGCCTGCCTCGCCCTGAAGCAATATCAGACTACAGTACCTACTAGGTATTCCGTACCTACCTAGCAGTCATTGTCACTGAATCAAAGCAAGCAATTAAAGCAAGCAAACTAGCCAGCTAACCTGGTACAATCCCAATTTCCACCACAGCCTGATATCTCAATTTCCCATTACGGTCTCCGTCTCCACTGACCATCTATCTCTTCATAGATCTTCCAATGCCAATCCACCGATAACTATGCAACCTATCCAGGCACTGACCTGAATGCCATGATAGATGACCATATTTACCACCAGCATTGATTCCACCAATACCACCACGAGCCCTCGCTGGGAGATTGCTTTGAAAGCCTTTCCTTGTAGCATTCGAAAACGACCACGGCGCACGCAGACTACTCTACAGCACAAAGGGCAATGATAATGAACACACTAGAGATACAATTAGGGGTGGGTCGGAAGCAGATATCAACTGCTGCTCCATACCACACGGGTGGCGGCCCAACAGTCGAGGTTTGAGTGTGGGGAGGGGAGCTTGCAGTTCTCAACCTGATTGCCATTGATCCCTCGAGGATGTTGGGCAGACACCTTGCTGCACGCCTGGTCGCCCAAGCCCAGAGCGGATGTGTTGGCCAACCCTCTATTGGCGCGGGCAATCATTTTGCGGCCGCAGTTCTCATCTAGGCCACCGACACGCAGCAATAGCTTCATTGAGTTATTGGCTATAAAACCATGCTTTTCCAATCCTGAGAGACTGAATGGAGGCATCTTAGACTGAGGAAATCCTGGGATCCCTGACAAGACGGGTAGTGTCCGGAACCATCATTGCCTATTGACCCCGGTATTGGTGAGGTTGGCATTAGCAGGAGATCCTCAATCCGAACATGATGATGGTGATCGGGAATCAAGGAAAACGCGAGAAGGGAACGAATAAGCTCTTGTTATCCAAGTTGACCGATGATCCGATCGATTGATCCAGACGCCAATGGTGAGACAATGCCGGAGTACGGGGTTTTCAAAAATGAAAATGGTGTACGTTATTGCGACCCAACGAGAGGTCGCTAAGGTAACTTCCCGACAAGGAAGCGAAACTGATTCGTGGGTGTGCGATTCCCGGGCAACGAACTTCTCCTCTGCCATGCTTAATGCCAAACCCAACTGGAGCCTCTGTCTTATGTCATTTCTCTTACAACTTCCGGTTTCACTGTCCTACATATGGCCAGCCTTCGATAAATCGTTCCGCAAGGAACGACCTGTTTCCCATTGCTCGAGTCAGTCAGCAGCATGTCGACACGCATTTGTTCCGAGGAAGCAACCACCGCAGGTCGAATACGGGACCCAACACGAGCTCCGTAATACAATTATCGTCTTGACCTGTCGGCGATCACGGCAAAACTTCAACTAGCACCACATCTACGAGCGTCTGGTGGCGGCCTAACGCTATCATTCCATGAAATCTCACCAGCATCACCTCCCGACCACAAACTCCCATAGGCTTGGCTGCTATATGGGCGGAGATCGAGCGACACTAAATTCCTAGGCTGCTTCGCAAGACAAGGAGCCTCCGTCGAGCCAGGTATAACAGGCAGACTGGCTGATGAGGACGTTGCGGCATTAACAGCATGCTACAGCCGGAATGAAGAATGCAGAACAACATAGCCGGTCCCGACGGGTCGATCCGATGAACAACTGTTCAGACGCTGTCATGTACTCAGTCATAAGACTGGAAGCGATCGTAGAAAGAGTTCCTTTAGTTTCAAAGCAAGCTGCAATCAGACGACCCCTCGCGGGGTTCGAGATTAGCCCAGCAGCAGGAAAAGAAAAGAACCATTGTCCAGAATGAAGCAGAGAAACAACAAAATCCCAAACTATGGTGGTAGAAGAGATCTCAGCAGACTGGTCCATAGTCGGTTATCGTGTCTTTGGGGCTGCATTCGGCGAATCGCAAGTGGTTGAAGACAAAGCAGTGACTTTAGCAAGCACATGGAGGCAGGAATGCTAGATGCTATCGATCAATGAAGTCGCTAAATACATAGTCCAGAGACAACCTAGAACAACTCAGCGAGCGCCTTCACAGCTCATGGCTGCCGAATTGTGCATGGCATGCGATGGTCGAAGCTCGCCAGTCGCATGACTTCTAATACACGCCCGGAATCAGAAGGATGACCGACTCGCGTACTGAGCACCTTACAGTGCCTGCTGACCAGCAGGCACCTCAGTCCAGACTTCGATCGCCTGCAGTGGTCACGATGCGACCCATAAAGAGAAGCTCGACCGAGCAATATAGATAATGCATCAAAGGAAATGAGTTATGTTACTATACAAGGTATCCAACCAGCAGTCGCAAATAATGAGAAAATATGAACATACACGGCATGCGAGGAGACATTGCGACTGGCCAAACTCCGATTAAAAATGCAAAGCCCAAGCGACTCTCAGACATGGAAGCTCTCCTTCACCCTCCCAGCTTACTTGATCCGGCACAGGACCAGACCGCCACTCTTCTTTTCAACGCACTCTCTCGCCTCCATGATGCCCTTATCCGTCGAGATGTATAAGCTCTCACCCGGCGACCGCAGGCCCTCGAGGTAGGGAGTGTTGTGGCCTTGGACCACGCGCCGGAGATCCGGGAGCTTGGCGGTCACTCTCCGTTTAGGCGTGCTGATCATCTTCATCTTGCCCAGAACCGGCTCGCTGCGCCAGTACTTCAATCCGAGCCAGAGGCGTCTGGTGGCGACGTTGGCTTGGGTCACAGGTTCGATGTCCTGTGAGCTGGGGTGGCCAAGGAGCTCATGCGGAGCGGGGGGAGTCGGGCCGCCACGAACAACGGTAGAGATGAATCCGTCATTTTGCAGCGCAAGGCAGAGCTTCAGGTGTAGCTTGGTGTTGGGGATCGAGGTGAGACCGAGGCGGGCCTTGGTGACATTGTTTAGGTGGGAGATCACGTGGGAGAGGTTGGAGAGAGACATTTTTGTATCGTGAGACCGAATATCGGTGGTCGATTCTCAATGCAAGACAGGATACACGGTGCGGGAAAGCAGGATAGACCGCTGGCGGGGAGAAGCGTGAGCGACACAGCACTAAGCACTACCACAAGGTGAATACCGGGACGAAACGTACCTGCAAGAAACGAGATCGAGGATCGGCGTCAAGACTGAAGCGATTGTAAAATGATTAGGCTCTGCTGCAGTCAGCCAAAGGTATGGTCGTCAAGCGCGTTCGCGGTAACCAGAGTACCTCCGAGGATGCGGCGGGAAGCTCAGATGAAATTTTCGGAGAAACAAAATCACGGCTTCCGGGTGGGTGCCTGGTGTGATGCCTGGAACCCCAGGCAGAAACCTAAGGCACACCTACCTTATACACAACTTGGAAGTTGCCGAAGCGGCAACCAATTAAAGATCGGAAGTAGTACTTCTGTAGCCGCCGGGCTTCTGCACGCTGCATCTCCTCACCTTGTCACAAGCCAGTCAGATCTTCCCCTCTGATGGGGTAACCGATGTTTAAAATGTCGCTCACTGCCTTGCACTTGGTCGATGAGCCTTCTTTCCCCTTACTTTCATCTACAGTTGACCGACCTTATGGTGTATCACTTTCTCTTGAACTTAGCAACATCAACACCCACTAACAATGCCACCACTGCCGGGTGAGGAGCGAGTGCTGACAGTGTAAGTTCAAGCTTGCGATGTTTCTTACCCCGCCGATCTCGCCACCAGCCATCGTATGAATGAGCTGACGCGCCTGTAGCTTCGCCGACATCCATTACTATTTCGCGCAACCAAGTCCAAGGACTCGTCGTCACCGATTTGACAAAGGTTCCTATCTATATCTCTACCAGAGCGCCGCCCAGCGCAGGATCAGAATTGAAGTTGCGAATAACCCGGGTACCCCGGCCCAAGACGCTTTCAATGGAGGTTAGCTAAGATTGCCTCCTTTCACACTGTGCTTAGATTTACTGACCGGTTCGTAGCTCTAGACAAGATCCATGTGCGACACTCAACCCAATTTCCGACCCTTTGCACAGTAACGGTAGATGGACAGTCGCAAACTGCGGCGCAGAATGCGCCTGCTTTCCCTCCCCCGCCAGGCACTGCAGCTGAATGGGAGCTTGTCGAAGATGATACGCAGAACTCGATGCGCCTGCACACGCTGGACATCTACTTCTGGACCGTGGAGGATGCGAACCAGTTTCTTGATATCATTGAGCGGGACTTACCCGCAGCGCAGATTGAAACCGACCGACACCCATATCCCCCTCCACCTCAGAGTACCGTCAGCTCGGTGGTCCAACAGCTGGAGACAGTGGCCATCACTGATCCCGCATATCAGAACGGACAGACGCGCAACTCTCAGGCAGAAGTGGTCGCCAACCCTGCATCAAACTACCAAGCCATCACCCCGTCAAGCACTCTCCCTCCTCCACCTCCGCTGTCGTCCACCCTTGCTCCCACTGGATCTCACTTTGCTTCGACTGAACAGCAACATCAAGACCCGGCCCCTCAGTCCGCGCCCCTTCCTTACAACCCCGCCGCGCCCGCCGCTCCGGAGCCCATCAAGCACCGTGAAAAGACTCCGCCTCCAGAAGACTACGCGAATGGCACGGGTCTCGCGGCTGCCGCCGCTGCACCGGATCAAGGATTCCCGTTCCCCTCTTCTGCAGCTCCAGCGTCACCGGGACTATCGTCTCTGATCTCTTCGCCTGCGCCACCAGGCCCCCACACTACCATGCCAGGAACCTACGCATCTCCACCCCCAAGCACGGGGCTGAGCTTTTCTCCCTCGGTGACACGATCCGCATCCATCTCCAGCCCCCCTGGAGTCCCGTCGTACACCACAGCCTTCCTCTCCGGCGATAGCCCGGGATATCAGCACCAGCCCCGCAGCTCGCTCAGCAGCACGGGCTCCCTCCCTGGACCGCCCGGACCGCCGCAAGCAACCACCATGACGTTCGCACCACCACCCGCCACCGACGCAACAGCCCAGATTGCAAACCCAGCTGCCCAGAATGCAAACCCAGCTGCCGCTGCAGCCACCATGAGCTTTGCACCTCCTCCTACCGAGCCCCTCTCACCCCCTTCACAAACCCAACCCCAAGCCCAGCCCCCGTACACAAACCAATATCAGTACCAACACCAACACCAACACCAACACCCCCAGACCACCCCACCGCCTCCCATCCACCCCGCTGTAGCGATAGCCGGCTACTCGAACTACTCGTACGAGCAACCGGGCACCGTGGCGGGTGGCAACGCACCGGCCGAGTACGACATCCACCGACAGATGTACCGACCCACGGAGGCGGAGGCGACCTCACACCACCAGAAGTACGCGAAAGAGGCGATGAAGAACCCCGGGGATCGGCCACAGACGTTTGTGAAGAGCGCGTACCGGGTGGAGAGCAGCGTGAACCGGTTTCTGAAGAAGTTGGAGAAGAGGCTGTAGCTGCTGCTGCTGTTGTAGCCGGTGCACGAGCCTATCCAAGGGTGTAGTTCTAGTTGGGTGGTCGGTGTATATTTGCTCCTGTCATGATCGGATTGCGTTGTACGGTAGTCTCGGCTATTCTACGGTTGATATTATGCTCTGGAACCACCTTTCCTCGTATGTAGTTGACAATCGAGAAACAATGCATAAAAACGGACCCACATATACAATACACCCCACACAACCCAACCACAATCCATCTTAGCATGAGTATATACAAACACCCAACAACCCAAACCCCTACACACAAGATAAACCCCCTAAACCGCCCAATCCGCACCCAACCCCCTCCCCCACCGTCCCTAATCCCATTGCAAGAAAAAACACCCCTAATCCCTCTTCAACCCCACCCTCCCCGTCTTCCTCAACCCGACAAACCCGACAACCGTACAAACAACCATAAACCCAAACATGGTCCAAAAGCTGGCCCGATAGCCCGCCATCAACGCCTGCTTTTCTTCGCGGGAAGCATTCTCGGCGGCCACCACCGTCGAGATCACCTGCAGCACGGCCATGCCCAGCGCACTACCGAACTGCGCCGAGGTGTTGAACACCGCGCCGGCCAGCGCCTGCGTCGTATCGGGAAAACTGTCTGTGATGATGATCAGGCCGACGGTGTACAGCGCGTCGAAGCTGACGGGCTGCAGGAGCTGGGCGATGAAGGCGTTGGCCCAGTAGGGCCAGGAAGGCTGGATCAGGGCCATGAGGAGCGGGGAGCCGGCGCAGAGGATCGAGGTCACCGTCACGATCCAGAAGGCGGGGACGCGGTGGACGAAGACCCCAATCACAAAATTCATGAGGATGCCGATTACCAGGCTGGGGAGGATGCGGATGGAGGCTTGGAGGGCGGAGAGAGATTGGATCTCTTGGAAGCTGTTTTTTTTTCGGGTTAGTTGTTGTTGTTTGGGGTGGGTGCACGGAGGGGTGGACTTTGAGTATTGCTGGGTAGGCGGGGAGCAAAGACGTACTATAGACTGGCGAAGAGTTCCATGGAGTTGATCACTGCGTTGGATACGGCGATTGTCACGCTGATACTGCTGAATGACTTGTTGCGCCACAGGGAGTTGGGGATGAGAGCCGGTTTGTTCCGCTTGACCTGGTGGTGCATCCAGTAGACGAACGCGGGAAGGGCGACGGCCGCCACGCAGAGAATGACGATTGCTTCGGCGGAGCGGATGCGCGATGGATCGGCGCTCAGGATGCTTCAGAAGTCGTATAATTAGTTGGGTGTTGGGTTGGAATAAAAGTAGATTCCAGACGGGGACCCCGGCAAGTTACTCACGCCAACAGATAGCACACCAACGCCATAAAGGCCGAGGCGAGCCCAGCGCCAACCCAGTCGATCTGCGTTTTGACATTGTGCATCAAGTCCGCGTGTCGATGAGTCTCGCTCTGCGGGACAGCCCACAGGCCGACGACTGCGAAAAATAGGGTGATTCCACCGGCCAGATACCAGCCCGCACGCCAGCCAATGGTGTCCACGAGTACACCTCCAACGACCAACCCTAAAGAAAAGCCAAGGGGCTGGCTGAGACCCAGACAGGAGAAGGCGAGGTTGCGGCCCTGGCCGGGAGGCAGGAGCTGCGTGATGATGGAGATCGACGAGGCGAGATGGAACGCCAGCCCGACGCCCTGCAGGGCGCGCAGCACGACCAGCTCGTCCCCGTTGCGAGACAGCCCTTGCCCGATCATCAGCAGGCCGCTGGCAAACGAGCCGACGAGCTCAACCCATCGCGGGCCGATGGCATCGGCGATGGACCCTGCCAGCAACAGAGTAGACGCGGTGGCCAGGCTGCTCACGGACGAGGGCCAGAAGGAGAGCGAGGACGGCAGTTGCAGGTCCTTCGTGATCGTCGGCAGACCGACCACGACCAGCCCATTGATGACACTGGCGGTAAGCGTGACGGCCGACAGCTGGGCGATCACCACCGACTGTTGGAAGCGGAACTTCCGTGCAGTGGGTGAGCGTGTACTATCGGTCTCAGAGGACGGGACATCGCTCCCTTCCACCAGCAGCGACTGTACCGGAGGAGTCTTGGTGATGGTGGTGGTGGTTGCCATCTTGGTGTGTGTCGCAGTCAGAGCGCAGACTGCTGGTTGCTACCAGGTTCTTTTGCACACAAAAGGTGGAGTAAGTAGATTTTTGACTCTGGGGAAGCGAGGTGGACTGGTGGAGTCGAAAACCGCTTGATCCACTCTCTCAGGCTCACGGATCATAAAACGACCGAGCGAATCGAGGGTGGATAGCACCTGAAGAGAATGAGCGCTGTTCACGAAGCAGACACTCTGAATCCATGCGAAATGCCCTCAGACTCTTAGGTGATGGCGTGAACAAATTTCTTGCGATTGACCCACCGGGCCCATCTTCCCCAGCCAGAACCATGATTCCTTGCTCTCGGATCAGACGTCCTCCCGCCATTGTGCTAACCGATCCAGGTAGGACACCGGCGAATAAGTGGATACAATAACTCGACCTGTGCTGGTTGGGTGGATGTTAGGCAGAAGAGGATTTGAAATGCTCGAGTTCTTGAGGAGAGGAGTTGAGGATAGGAGAGAGCAGGCAGGAACAGGTCCAATGTTTTTTGTTTTGGGCTCCGGGGCATTTCGGCGCTAAGCCCTATCTCGATCTTATCTTGCAGGAACCCCAAATGGAACGTTCCATTTTCCACAACTACGTACTCCCAAAGACTATAGTACATTCGACAATTCTTCCATGTGGACAGTGAGTAAAGTCATCCTTGGTGGAACAATTAACAATTGTCCAAAAGTTTAAAAATACAGTTGCTTGCAACTCAGTCCAATAAGTCAACATAGTAGCCTAAGGCCTCCTACAATTCAATACCAAACCGAATACGCAGCACAAGCAAGATCAAAAACCTATCGGAAAACCCCAGTACATATGCAAGACGCAGTACTCCGTA